GGTGAAGGGGAGGAGGGGAGGCAGAAGGAGGAGTTGGGAGGGTGAAGGGAGGAGCTGGGAGGTGAAGGGAGGAGTTGGGGAGGGTGAAGGAGGAGTTGGGAGGGTGAAGGAAGGAAGGGGAAGGTTGGGAGGGTGAAGGAAGTGTTGAGGGTGAAGGGGAAGGGGAGGGTGGGAAGGGGGAAGGGAAGTGTTGGGAGGGGTGAAGGGGAAATGTTGGGAGGGTGAAGGAAGTGTGGGAGTGAAGGGGAAGGGGGGAGGGAGGAGTTGGGAGGGGAGGGTGAAGGAGGAGCTGGGAGGGTGAAGGAGGAGGAGTTGGGAGGGTGAAGGAGGAGTTGGGAGGGTGAAGGAGGAGCTGGGAGGGTGAAGGGAGGAGTTGGGAGGGTGAAGGGAGGAGTTGGGAGGGTGAAGGAGGAGTTGGGAGGGTGAAGGGGAGTTGGAAGGTGAAGGGAAGTCTTGGGAGGTGAAGGGAAGAGATGGGAGGGTGAAGGGTAGGGGTTGGGAGGTTGAAGGGGAAGAGATGGGAGGTGAAGGAGGAGTTGGGAGGTGAAGGGGAGGAGTTGGGAGGGTGAGTTGGAGGTGGAGGAGTTGGGAGGGTGAAGGAGGAGTTGGGAGGGTGAAGGAGGAGTTGGGAGGTGAAGGGAAGGAGTGAAGAAGTGTTGGGAGGTTGAAGGGGAGGAGTTGGGAAGTGAAGGGGAAGAGATGGGAGGGTGAAGGGGAGGAGTTGGGAGGGTGAAGGGGGGAGTTGGGAGGATGAAGGGAATTTAACGACAAAGGAACAGGAATAAGTTACAAAGGGAGAAGAGGATATTATTCTCTTGATGATGAAAGAGACAGAGAGAGCAATAATTCTCTCGTCCTCTCTCTCCCTGTACGTGTCCTTCACTTAGCCTTGTCTTATTCTCCTTCAACCGTTCTCATTTTTTCTCTTTGCTTTCATGAATGTGTCCCTCATTAATTTTTTTTATTTCTCTTATTTTCTTGTAGGTTTTGCCCATGACCGCAATGTTACCAAGACAATTGTTAGCCAAATTAATAGAATTATGATATAACTACAAGAAAAATTACCTCTTTGCTAGAACTGATCACAATACCTTCTGTATGCACACTCTCCTTCCTCCACATCTCACCTCATCGTCCGCTGGCACTATATTCTCTCTCCCTCCTCGTCGAGGCTACAACTCAGCCCAGATTATCTCTTTTCACTCCACAAAATCTAAGTAGCATTTTAACCTAATGAAAGTCAACTTAAACTCATTTGACTTGATTTAACTCAATCAGACGTCTAACCTCAACTGGCCTAACACGCCCGAGGAAGAGGCGTCTGCTACCTAGCCTGTGATACACACCCAAGAAACCAGGCAAGAAACATCCTCGTACAGTAGCTCACGCACATGACGTAATTCGTTCACAGGAAACTGTCACCACCTGAGTCAAAAACGGTGCACAACCACGACGGAGGCTGGATTGCTACACACTCGTGTGCAATTACCAGAGTCGGTATAGATCTTCCACCCCTCACACACGAGTAACCCAACGCCCCTCACCCTCGATCAGGGTTGGCTACACCAGAGACTTGACTGACCTTTATATGTATCTCGGGTTTTCCCGCGGAATGTTCACCAATGGTCGGGAATCCGGGGAGAGGAGAAGGGGGGGGCACTAGCCCTGACGTTGACGTAATGATTCCAGGAGTTAAATAGGTTGAGAAAATTAAATGATACTTTCAATGGAATATATCTATTTCAGTATTATATGGGGAGGTGTCAAGGTGAGGGGGAGTGAAGCTAGGAGCGCAGTTCACATTAACTTGGGTTGAATTATGTTAACTGGATTAAGTGCGATTAGATGATGTTCTTATCAAATATCTTGTTTATATTGTGCAATGTTAACTTAGGTTTCATTGATTCAATCCGGCTGAACTGCGTTGTATTAGAGGCGTTTATTTTAAGACGTTTCAGATGCACGGAATAGCTAATGAGTTAGCTATTGTGTTTGGGCAGATGCTGCTGCTGAATTCTGCTCATGACACTTTCAGGAGTTAGCGTTTGCAGCGGGCAGAGGCCGCCGAATAGCTAACAACCAATCAGCGAGTTTCTCCCACTGAAAATACGCGGATCATGGCCGCTTATGAAGAATATTTTGATTAATATTGAAGAGTTGGAGGCATGCAAGCATTGTAAGGCAAAAAATAACAACTTATGTATAATAATAAAAATAATTCTATATTGGATAGGACCTAAAACAAAGCGTATGGAGTGAAAGAATTTAAAATGATTGCGCCGAGTTGAAACCAGTTTTGGCTCCGCCCATTTTTAAGTGGGTGCTGCTCGATTTCATTAGTGGTTGGTGACTTTGGTGTAACCATATTGATAATTACTCAAATATGATTAAAACTTTAATATTACTCATATGATACTTTTAATAAGGGTGAACAAGTTGATTACAGTTCTGTAAAGTCAAAAATTAAGACTTAAAAGAACCTGAAATTCGTCGTACTTCGTGCATAAATATGCAAACACCTGGACGCGAGAGAAGCGTCTCGGGAAGGTGTGGTCTCCGGGGCCACAAACACTCTGGGTGTGTGGTTTCCGGGGCCACAAACACTCTGGGTGTGTGGTTTCCGGGGCCACAAACACTCTGGGTGTGTGGTCTCCGGGGCCACAAACACTCTGGGTGTGTGGTCTCCGGGGCCACAAACACTCTGGGTGTGTGGTTTCCGGGGCCACAAACACTCTGGGTGTGTGGTCTCCGGGGCCACTAACACTCTGGGCGTGTGTGGTCTTCGGGGACACAAGCACTCTGGGTGTGTGGTCTCCGGGGCCACAAACACTCCGGTGTGTGTGGTCTCAAATGCAAACACTATGGGTGGTGGTTCCCAGGGCCAAAACACTGCGGTGTGTGGGTCTCAGCCAAGCACTCTGGGTGTGTGGCTAAGGCCGCAAGATGCTGGGTGTGGTTCTGGGCCAAGGACGCTGGGTGTGTGTCTCAAGGCCACAAGCACTTCTGGGTGTGGTCTCTGGGCCACAAACACTCTTGGTGTGTGTCTGGGGCCACAAACACTCTGGGTGTGGTCTCCAAGGCCACAAAGGTCGCTGGGTGTGTGGTCTCCCCAAGGCCACAAGCACGCTGGGTGTGTGGGTTTCAAATACAAGCACCTGGGTGTGTGTGGTCTCCAAGGTCACGTTCACGCTGGGTGTGTGTGGTCTCCACACACATTCTGTGTGTGGCCCAACACAAACACCTGGGTGTGTGTGGTCTCCGGGGGCCAAAACACTCTGGTGTGTGGTTCTGGGGCCAAGCACCTGGGTGTGTGGTTCCGGCCACAAACACTCTGGGTGTGTGGTCTCAAGGCCACAGCACCAGTGTGGCCTCCGGGGCCACAAACACCTCTGGGTGTGTGGTCTCCCACACAAACACTTGGGGTGTGTCTCAAGGCCACAAGCACTCTGGGTGTGTGTGGCCCCTGGGGCCACAAACACTCTGGGTGTGTGTCTCTGGGGCCACAACACTCTGGGTGTGTGTGGTTCTGGGCCACAAGCACGCTGGGTGTGTGGTCTCCAAGGCCACAAGCACTCTGGGTGTGTGGTCTCCGGGGCCACAAACACTCTGGGTGTGTGGTCTCTGGGGCCACAAACACTCTGGGTGTGTGGTCTCCAAGGCCACAAGCACGCTGGGTGTGTGGTCTCCAAGGCCACAAGCACGCTGGGTGTGTGGTCTCCGGGGCCACAAGCACTCTGGGTGTGTGGTCTCCAAGGCCACAAGCACGCTGGGTGTGTGGTCTCCGGGGCCACAAGCACGCTGGGTGTGTGGTCTCAAGGCTGGCCAAGCACGTGCTGGGTGTGTGTGGGTCTCCAAGGCCACAAGCACTTTGGGTGTGTGGTCTCCGGGGCCACAACACTCTGGGTGTGTGGTCTCTGGGGCCACAAACATTTCTGGGTGTGGTCTCCAAGGCCACAAGCACGCTGGTGTGTGGTCTCCAAGGCCACAAGCACGCGGGTGTGTGGTCTCTGGGCCACAAGCATTCCCCTGGGTGTGTGGTGGTCTCAAAGGCCACAAGCACGCTGGGTGTGTGGTCTCCAAGGCCACAAGCACCTGGGTGGTGTTCCGGCCACAACACCTGGTGTGTGGTCTCTGGGGCCACACACTCTGGGTGTGGCTCTGGCCACAAACACTCTGGGTGTGTGTGGCTCCAAGGCCACAAGCACTCTGGGTGTGTGGTTCTCAACAATAAACACTCTGTGTGTGTGTCTCTGGGCCACAAACACTCTGTGTGTGTGGTCTCCAGGCTGGCGCTGGGTGTGTGGTCTCCGGGGCCAAAGCACTCTGGGTGTGTGGTCTCAAAGCCACAAGCACGCTGGGTGTGTGGTCTCGAGGCCACAAGCACGCTGGGTGTGGTGTCTCAAGGCACAAGCACGCTGGGTGTGTGGTCTCAAAGCCTAAGCACTCTGGGTGTGTGGTCTCCAGGGCCACACTCTGGGTGTGTGGTCTCTGGGCCAAACACTCTGGGTGTGTGGTCTCAAAACCAAGCAGCTGGGTGTGTGGTCTCCAAGGCCACAAGCACCCTGGGTGTGTGGTCTCCGGGCCACAAGCACTCTGGGTGTGTGGTCTCAAGGCCAAGCACGCTGGGTGTGTGGTCTCCAAGGCCCAAACACTCTGGGTGTGTGGTCTCAGGGCCCACAACACTCTGGGTGTGTGGTCTCCGGGGCCCTAGCACTCTGGGTGTGTGGTCTCCGGAGCCCTAACACTCTGGGTGTGTGGTCTCCAAGGCCACAAGCACTCTGGGTGTGTGGTCTCCGGGCACAAACACTCTGGGTGTGTGGTCTCCAGGGCCTAAACACTCTGGTGTGTGGTCTCCAGGCCACAAGCACTCTGGGTGTGTGGTCTCCGGGGCCTAAACACTCTGGGTGTGTGGTCTCCAGGACACAGCACTGGTGTGTGGTCTCGGGCCACAAACACTCTGGGTGTGTGGTCTCAAGGCCACGCACGCTGGGTGTGTGGTCTCAAGCCAAAGCACGCTGGGTGTGTGGTCTCAGGCCACAAGCACTCTGGGGGTGTGGTCTGGGCCAAAACACTCTGGGTGTGTGGTCTCCGGGGCCACAAGCACTCTGGGTGTGTGGTCTCCGGGGCCACAAGCACTCGGCGTGTGGGTCTCCAGGGCCAAAGCACGCTGGGCGTGTGGTCTCCAGGGCCACAAGCACGCTGGGTGTGTGGTCCCGGGGCCACACACTGGGCATGTGGTCTCCGGGGCCACAAGCACGCTGGGTGTGTGGTCTCCAGGGCCACAAAACACTCTGGGTGTGTGGTCTGGGGCCTGGGGTACGCTGGGTGTGTGGTCTCCGGGGCCACCAACACCCTGGGTGTGTGGTCTCCGGGCCACAAGCACTCTGGGCGTGTGGTCTCCAGGACCAAAGCACGCTGGGTGTGTGGTCTCCAGGGGCCAAACACTCTGGGTGTGTGGTCTCCGGGGCCACAAACACTCTGGGTGTGTGGTCTCCGGGGCCACAAAGCACTCTGGGCGTGTGGTCTCCGGGGCCACAAGCATGCTGGGTGTGTCTCCAGGGCCAGGCACTCTGGGTGTGTGGTCTCCGGGGCCTGACTCTGGGTGTGTGGTCTCCGGGGCCACAAGCACTCTGGGCGTGTGGTCTCCGGGGCCACAAGCACTCTGGGTGTGTGGTCTCCGGGGCCACAACACGCTGGGTGTGTGGTCTCCGGGGCCAGCTCTGGGTGTGTGGTCTCACTGACCCAAACACTCTGGGTGTGTGGTCTCTGGGGCCACAAGCACTCTGGGCGTGTGTGGTCTCCAGGGCCACAAGCACTCTGGGCGTGTGGTCTCCGGGCCTAAACACTCTGGGCGTGTGGTCTCCGGGGCCTAAGCACTCTGGGTGTGGTGTCTCGGGGCCACAAACACTTGGTGTGTGGTCTCAGGGCCACCAACATTCTGGGTGTGGTCTCAGGGGCCAACACTCCTGGGTGTGTGTGGTCTCCAGGGCCACAACCCTCTGGGTGTGTGGTCTCCGGGGCCAAACACTCTGGGTGTGTGGTCTCCGGGGCCAAACACTCTGGGTGTGTGGTCTCTGGGGCCCTAAGCACTCTGGGTGTGTGTAATCTCCAGGGGCCTGGCTCTGTGTGTGGTCTCCGGGGCCCTAACACTCTGGGTGTGTGGTCTCAGGGCCACCAACATTCTGGGTGTGTGGTCTCGAGACCCTACCTCTGGGTGTGTGGTCTCCGGGGCCTAACACTCTGGGTGTGTGGGTCTCCGGGGCCACACACTGGGTGTGTGGTCTCCGGGGCCACAAACACTCTGGGTGTGTGGTCTCTGGGGCCACGCACTTCTCTGGGTGTGTGGTCTCCGGGGCCACGCTCTGGGTGTGTGGTCTCCGGGGCCTACTCTGGTGTGTGTGGTCTCCGGGGCCACCAACATTCTGGGTGTGTGGTCTCCGGGGCCAACATACTCTGGGTGTGTGTGGTCTCGGGAGACCTGGCACTATTCTGGGTGTGTGGTCCTGGGGGCCACAAACACTCTGGGTGTGTGGTCTCCGGGGCCACAACACTCTGGGTGTGTGGTCTCCGGGCCACAAACATTCTGGTGTGTGGTCTCCAGGGCCACAAACACTCTGGGTGTGTGGTCTCGGGGCCACAAACACTCTGGGTGTGGTCTCTGGGGCACAAGCACTCTGGTGTGTGGTCTCCGGGGACACAAGCACTCTGGGTGTGTGGTCTCCAGGGCCAGCCTCTGGGTGTGTGGTCTCCGGGGCCAAACACTCTGGGTGTGTGGTCTCGGGGCCTCAAAGCACTCTGGGTGTGTGTGGTCTCCGGGCCACCAAACATTCTGGGTGTGTGGTCTCCGGGCCAAAACACTTCTGGTGTGTGGTCTCGGGCCCAAACACTCTGGGTGTGTGGTCTCCGGGGCCACAACACTCTGGTGTGTGTGGTCTCAGGGCCTGGCTCTGGGTGTGTGGTCTCCGGGGCCACAAACACTCTGGGTGTGGTCTCTGGGGCCTGGCTCTGGGTGTGTGTGTGTCTCAGGCCACCAACATTTGGTGTGTGGTCTCGGGGCCTAAACACTCTGGGTGTGTGGTCTCCTGGGGCCCTAAAGCCTCTGGGTGTGTGTTCTCCGGGGCCACAAACTACTCTGGTGTGTGGTCTCCGGGGCCACAAGCTCTCTGGGTGTGTGGTCTCCGGGCCACCAACATTCTGGGTGTGTGGTGCTCCATGGCCACAAACACTCTGGGTGTGTGTGTCTCGGGGCCACAAACACTCTGGTGTGTGGTCTCTGGGGCCCAAACACTCTGGGTGTGTGGTCTCCGGGGCCAGGGCTCTGGGTGTGTGGTCTCCGGGGCACTAAGCACTCTGGGTGTGTGGTCTCTGGGGCCACTAACACTCTGGGTGTGTGTGGTCTCCGGGGCCTGAAACTCTGGGTGTGTGGTGTCTGGGGACACAAGCACTCTGGGTGTGTCTGGGCCACAAACCACTCTGGGTGTGTGGTCTCCGGGGCCAGCACTTCTGGGTGTGTGGTCTCCGGGGCACAAACACTCTGGGTGTGTGGTCTCTGGGGCCTGACTCTGGGTGTGTGTGGTCTCAGGGGCCTGGCACTCTGGTGTGTGGTCTCGGCCTGCAAACCTCTGGGTGTGTGGTCTCCGGGGCCCAAGCTCTGGGGTGTGGTCTCCGGGGCCTGGACACTCTGGGTGTGTGGTCTCCGGGGCCACGCAACTCTGGTGTGTGGTCTCCGGGGCCACTAACACTCTGGTGTGTGGTCTCCGGGGCCACCAACATTCTGGGTGTGTGGTCTCCGGGGCCTGCTACTCTGGGTGTGTGGTCTCCGGGGCCAAACACTCTGGTGTGTGGTGCCACAAGACTCTCTGGGTGTGTGGTCTCCGGGCACCAACATTCTGGGTGTGTGGTCTCCTGGGCCACAAACACTCTGGTGTGTGGCTCTCGGGGCCCCAAACACTGGTGTGTGGTCTCGGGGCCCTTAACACTCCTGGTGTGTGGTCTCTGGGGCCTGCATTCTGGTGTGTGGTCTCCGGGGCCACAAACACTCTGGTGTGTGTCTCCAGGGACACAAGCACTGGGTGTGTGGTCTCCGGGGCCTGGACACTCTGGGTGTGTGGTCTCTGGGGCCTGGCTCTGGGTGTGTGGTCTCCGGGGCCCCTAAGCTCTCCCGGGGTGTGTGGTCTCTGGGCCTGCAGCTCCCGGGTGTGTGGTCTCCGGGACCACAAACACTCGGGTGTGTGGTCTCCTGGGCCAAAACCTCGGGTGTGTGTGGTCTCCGGGCCCTAAACACTCTGTTGTGTGGTCTCCGGGCCACAAACACTCTGGTGTGGTCTCCGGGCCCTCGGCCTCTGGTGTGTGGTCTCGGGGCACAAACACTCTGGTGTGTGGTCTCGGGGCCCTGAAACCTGAGTGTGTGGTCTCCTGGGCACAAACACTCTGGGTGTGTGGTCTCTGGCGGCCACAAACACTCCGGTGTGTGTGGTCTCCTGGGCCAGACACTCCGGTGTGTGTGGTCTCAGGGCCACCAACACTCGGTGTGTGTGTGGTCTCGGGGCCACAAACACTCCGGTTGTGTGGTCTCGGGGCCTGGCCTCTGGTGTGTGGTCTCGGGCCTAAACACTCCCGGTGTGTGGTCTCGGGGTACAAACACTCGGTGTGTGGTCTCCTGGGCCCACCACCTCGGTGTGTGGTCTCCGGGGCCACAAACACTCTGGGTGTGTGGTCTCCGGGACCACAAACACTCCGGGTGTGTGGTCTCCTGGGCCACAAACACTCCGGGTGTGTGGTCTCCGGGGCCACAAACACTCCGGGTGTGTGGTCTCCTGGGCCACAAACACTCCGGGTGTGTGGTCTCCTGGGCCACAAACACTCCGGGTGTGTGGTCTCCGGGGCCACAAACACTCTGGGTGTGTGGTCTCCGGGACCACAAACACTCCGGGTGTGTGGTCTCCTGGGCCACAAACACTCCGGGTGTGTGGTCTCCGGGGCCACAAACACTCCGGGTGTGTGGTCTCCTGGGCCACAAACACTCCGGGTGTGTGGTCTCCTGGGCCACAAACACTCCGGGTGTGTGGTCTCCGGGGCCATAAACACTCCAGGTGTGTGGTCTCCGGGGCCACAAACACTCCGGGTGTGTGGTCTCCTGGGCCACAAACACTCCAGGTGTGTGGTCTCCTGGGCCACAAACACTCCGGGTGTGTGGTCTCCTGGGCCACAAACACTCCAGGTGTGTGGCATACAGTTGGGTGAAAGAAAACGATCATTGGACACAGCTGAATGCAGACATCCGAGGGCAGGTGATTACGTGTTAACTACAGTACTTCCCCCGCCCTCTCTCCACCAAACTTCATAAACAAAGACATGCTGGTTGTCCACTACCTACAGTATCTTAACCCATTTCTCACTCGGATATGGCTGAGTGTAACATTACGATGCTAAATTTTATGCTGTACAGAACGGCCGGTACACACAACCTGGTGAAAACATGAGGCTTTGTTGTTGAGATTGTAGGACCGTAGTCCGACACGGGCCTTTGCCTGTAGGCAGCCCGCTTGGTGGTTCCGGCTGGAGCTCTTGAAGCAGCCAGACCGGATTGGGGATTTGGGGATGGAAGGTGTCCTACCTGCAGATATGAAAGGATACTGCAGGTTTGCAAGTGTGAGCGGACCCTCGGTCAGAGAGCGCTTACCACCAACCCCTACTCTTGGACATGTTCAGTTTCGGAGTGGTGCGCCCCCCAACCCGAACCGAGTCCGCACTTGCTGGGGGGAGGATACTTCCCAAGCTATCTGGGTGGTGGGTATCGTGTGATGACCCGGAGAAGGAGGTAAATGTGGTCTGTTTGGGCCTTTCGGGTTAGAGTGGCCGCTGGTGCTGTGTGTTCTTGCAAGTTTCCAATTCTGTTTCGGAGACTTTGTGTGACTTCGCAGTCGAGGAGGTGGTGTTCCAGTGGGTTGGCCGCTGGCTCCTGACAGTAGATGCATTCCCGGACGACATTTCCGATCGTCTGCCAGGTGCCCTTGTACCCTAGTCGTAGTCGATGAAGGCTAACTTGGGTTTGTCTTGGTGTTTTCTTGTCCGCAAATGGTGGTTCCCCTTTTGTAGCCACAAGGTACCATTTGGCTAATTGGGAACCATCATTGAATGCATCAAGGAAGCTCTTTTGGATGTGGAGCTTGGTAGTTTTTCTGAGGTGGATCTTGATCTGTTGCACGCTTGCTGGAACTTGAATGTGTACGCTTCTAGAACGTGTGGCTGCCTTGGCTGCTTCGTCTGCCATGTCATTTCCCCCGATCCCTACATGACTGGGAATCCAGTGTAAGACAACTGGGCGATTTTGTCTTTGGAAGACCTGTAGCTGTGCGAGGATCGAGGTTAAGATGTGGACGTTGTCTCTTGGTTGGCTGTGTTGCAGCGCCTGCATGGCCGTTTTCGAGTCCGTGTGAATTATGATGGACTTGTGTTCCGGCGTGTTGTAGGGCATTTGAGATTGCTACTAGCTTTGTTTGTAGGGTTAGCTTTCCCGGACTGTCAGTAAAAATGCGACTTTGTACCACGTCTTGGGAATAACTGTTGTACAACAGTCTTCAGAAAACAATAAAATTAGGAGAACTGTTATTTGGACACAATACCAAAAGAAATAGTGAAAAAAATATATAGAAAATTACGGAGACAAAAAAGAAAGTCAACAATAAATAAGAATAACACAAATCGGGCCCGTTGTAAAGGTAATTTCTCCCGGACTCTGAAACCACACTACTGTCTCTCGCGGCTAGGCGTTCACATATTTATACACGAAATACGACGAATTTCAGGTTTAACCACCGAAGATTAGTCACCTTAATGACCCCAGGGAGGTTGGTTTAGGTTAGCGATAAGGTAGTTCATCTTATTGTGCACTAAACTAGGGTGGCTAATCTTCACGTGATCCCATTATTTTATAGCTTGGGTACAGTGTGGGAGAGGAGGGCATTACAAAAATGTCACTGTTCCGAGGAGAGTCCAGAACGATCACCAATAGCAACATGGTTGAGTTGACAAACCATGACAACAAATTGTTTTCAGCTACTATTCCAATATTAACCAATTAAATGGAACGGGTTTCTTTCAGCTGAATAAATCGTCTGAATTTAGCCAGAATAAAATACCTAGGTGCAATACTACTTCTTAAAGGATTAAACTTGCAAACAACGAATATAGTAGTTACCACTATAGTAAAGACCCTGACTTGTTTCTTTCATTATGGGAATATTATCCGTTTAATACAAGTTGGAAAATAGAGAATATCTGTTTTTCACATTTCAGTTATTGAACTTGATAAACGGAGCGAATATGTTAAGTTCTAAAATTACCCTTAAAAGTGTTTCACTTAACTTCGGTTCAATCAGCTTAGACAGGTTTGGTTAATATTGATTTGATTTGGTTGAGTGGTATTATTTTATGTTCAGATATGTATAAAGCTCTCCTTGCTTTTCAATATTTGTCTATCCGAATTTAATGAATACACATTTTTAAATATATAGATCAAGCAATAACTTACGATTCTTTGTAATTTACAATTATAATCGGGCACTAGTAAGTAGGCCTACGTGTTTAAATCTATTGAGAGGGAAAGTCAATGACGAGTAAAGGCCAAGGTGGGCATGGCTGGCAGCATTCAAACTTTTCCATATGTCGAAAATTGACAAGATGTAACAAAATATTTTATGGAAAACAATAATGGAAAAAATAGAAAACTATCCAGCAAAACGGACAAAGCTTTACTCACCACAAAATATTTTCTAGAACAGCAGCACAACGTAGCTCGATAAAGTCTTACACGAGACAAATACTGATCCTCTTTCCTCCGTGGTCGCCTCACTACTGAACGCAATAGGAAGGGCTGGCTTTCGGTTTCTGGCACGACGTGACTGGGTGGATGCAGTTGCCAGAATTCCGCTCCTAAAGATTCCTACGGCCGAGAGTCCTACCTATGCCATGCCATTATATCTCTAAAAAGCGAGCATGTCCCGGTTCGTGTCTGCAGTAAAGGTTACAGATGACTTTTGTCCTTCCTCTCCAACAAGAGCCAAAGCTTCTTTCCAGGAGAGTCTGCTGGCCTTTTGAGTGACCTTGATGCCAAATAGCAGCATCTTCATCTTGGTGTGTGTGTGTGTGTGTTTCATCATATGTAACCTGAGATCCAATGGTACGTGTAGCTATACAATTTTCAGTGAAACGTTTCTTTATTTTATTACATTCAGTGAATGTGACTTGGATCATGTATAACGACAAAAATGAAACATCACACCCAAGCCAAATTTGTATAAAATTGTTATATACAGTATTTACAAACATTGTACAAGAAATTGCTACTGTTCTTTATGTAAGTAGATGTTCAGTTCAACTTAGTCCCTAGTTTTTTTCAATGTGCTCAACATACACATATATTTTATATAATTGTTGGTTTTAATAATAATATTAAATTTGACTCGTCCTTTCAATGATGGATACAGTTGTGAACAACTAGGGAATACAGATCATCTTTAGCAAAACAACGCCGTTTTAATGTTCTTAGCCATGATATGACTGTTTTCATTACAATTAAAATTGAGGGAAAGTCTCTCTTTCGGACTATTATCGTATAAGTGTAAAGTTTTAATGAGATTGGGTGATCGGTATTGCGATTTCCGATTTTTTATAAAACACACACAGTAGGAATGAATGAAGGGCTAATATTCATTCGTTTTGTTTCCGACCATTCCACCAATCGTGAAAAGAATGTTATATACTGTATATAC